GGGAAGAAGCTCCTCCTCAGTCTCTCTGTGTTGGTCTTCAGGGAGCGGAATCGCTTTCCTGACCTCAGCAGAGAGAACAGTCTGTTGTTGGGATGGCTGAGGTCCTTCACGATCTTCCTGGCCTTGGTCCGGCACCGCCTGCTGTAGATTGAGTGCAGGTCAGGGAGCTCGGAGCGGTTCAATGACTTTGTGTAACAACAAAAAGTAACAACATTTCATTAAATTTGCACAAACACTTTAAGAATTTATGCAAAATCGAGTTTATTAAGAACAAACAACAAAATCTACTTTAGTAAAAGCAGAGATAGGCTGAGTTCATTTTTTTGAGTGTATTTTGGTATGATCCGATACCAAGTAAATTCGGGCCAGTAACGCCGATACGATACTTTTGAATAAATAAGGTGGATGCCTCATTGAATTGGTAAATCGCAATTAATTAACAAGTGTTTTTTGTGATGTTTCCTTTGTTATTATTAATTAGTTAAAACCCAGGACATAATTAGGAGAAATAATTTATTTATAATTAAATAAAAAATGTTTTATTATTGTGGCGGCTTTTGGTCTGCGATGCCGCTGCAGGTGAGAAGGACTCACCTTCACTGCATCCACAATGATGCCTTGCCGGCTTAAAACCTGTGCGCTGCTTGTGCTGTTGTTGTTGTTGTTGTTGTTATTGTTTTTTTGGTGTTGATGTGTACTGCTGGCAGCAGGAGGGCTGCAGCGTTGAATGTAGGCTACTGTTACAGCAACCGTATGATCACTGTAAGGGTGGACAGCGCGCGGCTCTGGGTGAGCCGGAGGCTGGCGCGCCAACAGGACCTGCCAAGTTGGAGACGGAGGTCGAGGTGTATGGGGGTCCTGCCACGCCTGAAGGCGGCATGCTGTCCACTTCGGCACGCAGGCTGCATGGTCCTGGGCTAGCTGCCTGTGAGCCCCAGCTCACTTCCACGGCTGCTGCGCCGCCGCTGCTTGCCATATGGGTGGCCATCAGGCTAGCCCCGGGGCTTCCTCTGGAGGCGCGGGGAACCGCCAGAGTGGACACTTTCCCATCGCTGGGCTGGGGCATGGGGCGCCGATTCCCTCGCCTGCTCGCGGGGTGAGGTAAAACGGGCGAGGAGGGTATGTTGCAGGGCGTGTTCTGCGATGCCGCTGCAGGTTTGGTGGTGGTGATGTGTACGGCTGCCAGCGGGAGAGCTGAAGCTGAAGCTGAAGTTGAAGTTGAATGTACTGTTACAGCAACCGTGTGAGTAGGGATGGGTACCGGTGTCCGGTGCCATGATGGCACCGGTTCTGACATAAACGGTAGTAACCAGACCGAAAAGCAGCGCGCATTTCGGTGCTTTATTTCGGTGCTTTTTTTTCCTGAGCTGTGATACACTTCTAGCCAATCATTTTACGTTTCCCAGGATAGTAGGCGGGGCCAGGTACGTACGTTCAGTTAGAGCAGAGCTACAGATTAAAAATGTCCAAGGCGAAGCGGTCAAAAGTCTGTTTGTACTTCACAGCAAAATATGCAAACTCAGCAGCACTTGTTGCTGCTGTACTGTCAAAGGAGGTAGCACCTCAAATCCGATGAAACACCTGGCGACGCATAGCGTTTTTTTTTAAAAGCCGAGAAATGCGCCGTATTTGATAGCTTGCTGCGAGACCTCACACTGTGCACGTTGGGTGGGTTGCCAGTTATCGGACCCGGAGCAACATCCCCCAAAAACCCGAAGAATAGAGTCCTGGCCCCTAGCCCTGCCAGTGTAGCAGAAATGATGAGGATGATGATGCAGCAGCAGCCGTTCTTCTCTGCGTGAGTAGCTTAATGTTGTTCGAGTGTAATTTACGTTGAGTAGGCTAACCACGTTATTACATTAATGCATGTAAGGTGAACTAGCAAACATCATCATAGCTACATGCGGCTGTCCTCTTGTTTGATGGCAGATACTCCCTTCACCCTGGACAAAAAGGCTAAAATGACCAAAGAAAAAGTGGGAAACAGTTAAACATGAGAGGTTTTTGGACAAAGTTGTGTTCTCCATTCTTTAAGCACCGGTTCGAGCACCGTTTAAGCACCGACACCGTTTCAAAAGTACCGATTTGGCACCGGTATCGGATAAAACCTAAACGATACCCATCCCTACGTGTGACTATTGTAAGAAATGATGCTGTGAAGCATGAAAATGCCATCGGGTCTGCCGTGGTGGCGATTTTTTTTTCCCTTTTTTTTTTTTTTTTTTAATCTTAAGTGCAGGCAAACCAGTAAACTAATAAAAACAAATACTGTTGATAAACTATAATACAAAAAAATCACAATTAAAATTCTCAACAACAAAAAAAAGGGTGTGTGTGTGTGTGTGTGTGTGTACAACAACAACCCCCAAAGTGTCTAAGTCACCTGACGGTGTCAGTGCAACATCGAAACATAAAAGTGGGGGAGAGGGAGCAAAGTGCTCTCCGCTGACACAGGAGCGGTGAGTCCAGCAACCTGGTTGTTTCGTTTTTGCCGAAAGCTCAGCATAGCAAACAAGCAGAGCTCAAAGTAAAGAATCAATCTCACCAGGCTAGTATGATCCGATACCGATGTCGACTTGGGATCGATACTATCGATATTTGGATCGATCCGCCCACCACTAATGGAATGGACTGTATCGTCTTTTTTGCCTTTTCCCCCAAAAGTGTCCCTACCATATCTAAAGCAGCAGGGAGAATGATGTCCTCCACAATAGTGTGGGGTTTGTTGTTTTTAGCCACTCTGTAACTGACCATGTAAGATGCTTGTCTGTTTTTATTCATAAGTTCTGGCACTTGAATGCAGGTTTTACTTGTTGAAAGGTATTTTAGCTGTCGCTCAAAATATTCTCTTGGTTTATTTTTCAAATGGGGATGATTTGTCTCTAAATGTCTGCGCAAAAGTGAAGGTTTCATTGAGTTCTGAGAAAATACTCTTGCACAAATAACACATTGTGGCCGGGAAAATCCACCAATATTTATACACGTGAACCCCAGCGAAATATAATTGTCATCATATTTGCGTTTCTTTGAGGTTGTGTTACAGTCCGAGCTGTCATGCTTTCTCCCACTTTGACGCTCTGCATCACATACTTCATCACTTTCCACATGACTGGCTCCAGCTATGCTAGCCACTTGGCTAGTAACCACAGATACATCTTTTCTTTGCAAGCTCCTTTGACCACAGATACATCCATGCTAGCATCCAAATCTGACAACACATTGTTGATCACCTGTGCGGTCACTAGAAAATGCATCTTCAGATATGAGCTGATTGGCAGCAGCAGCGACAAAGCAGTTCTGGAAGCCGGCTGTGAGGAAATTGGTGGAACTACAAACCACAGCCTTGGTCAGCACTGGTTCAGTAGCTACATTCAGTAGCTTTAAAAACACGAGAAACTGTTTTCAATTCTGAATTGGAAACAGCAGAATCTGTTCTTGTAGTTCCAGACTTAGCAAGAGCTCGTGGAAAAGAGTCAATCTCACTCACTGAGATGGAAGAATCTAGAGTGGAACCGTACATCCTGGCACTGGGATTTCTTCAGCAGGTGGCGAATCCTCATTAACAGAGTTGGGCAGCTGCTGAGGAAGTCCAGGGTTCTGAGCATGGTGAAGAGAGCCGGTGCCACAGACGGTGCTTCTTCCTGAAAGCAGGAGAGGCGAAGGAAAATGAGTCTTGGAGCAGCAGTGACTGGCTCCTCATCCTCTGACCACATTCCTGCCAAGCATGAGGCAGGTGAGGGGTTGTCAGAACAGGACATGAAGGAAGAGGGATTAACAATTTGACTCCAACACATAGTGTACCCTGTTAAGTGCCAGGAGGATTTCCAGAATTTATATATCGGGGAAACCAAACAACCTCTGGCGAAGTGGATACCATAACACAGAAGAGCTACCTTGTCAGGCCAGGACTCCTCATTCTATTTACACCTACAGGCCAGTGGACACTCTTTCAATGATGAGGATGTACAGGGAGGAACGCTGGTTTGAGCGGGGAGTCAAGAATGCCATTTATGTAAAAAGGGAAAGACCATCTTTGAATTGAGGAGGGGGCCTAAGGGTGCATCTTTTGCCATCATACAATGCTGTGATTGCAGCCAATTCCCCAACTCTCTGTGAATGCTACTCATGGCCATTGATTAGTGGGCTTTGATCAGTGCTTTGATCAATGGTCATGAGAATTTGCTTAATTATGATGAAGGAACTGACCTCCCAGCCCATTGTTCCTTCAGTGGCCCGGTTTCAGTCATGGTGCAAATGCACTTCTTATAAGAGTGGGGAAACCTGCAGTCAGCTGAGTCTGAAGAAGTCACTTGGATAAGTAACGAAATGTTTCTCCCACTGAAAACGCTATGTCCAGATGAACAGAATTAACTTTTGGAGATGTGGAAGTAACAATTAGTCCAAGCATGTTTGTAGACATTAGTTGCATCCTATCATTAAGGCTAAGGTCTTGTTTTGAGTATCATTGTGGTAATAAACAGTTTGGTCTTGTTTGCAGCGTGATGACGTGATTCTGTATGGTCATGTGTTATCACATTGTTAAATCTTGTGTTTTGTAATGTATCTACAGAACGGATCAGATCCTCTTTCAAGAATATCAAGGTGTGAAGATGCTTCAGAGGAAACCATTAGTTTTCTTTGTCTTGCTGTGTGCCACTGCCATTGGAGTCTTTTCTACTAGAGCTTCATGGATTTTAAATGTGTACCAGGATTTCTTCCTCCCTCAGAATGAAAGTGTTTGTTCCTGCAACAAATGTTTAATGGAATATGACCCATGGCTTAGTGAACTTATGAAAGAATCTCCTGAGCCCTTTCTATCACCCACAAACAATATCTCAGAGAATACATTTAACTGGTGGAAGGTAAATGTTAACTTTTGTATTTTAAACGTATGTATGTATGTATACTTTTTTACTGATTTCAAAGACAAGTCATTATCATCTTTTAAACCAAATTTCCAGTGCTAATAGGGATTCTTTTTAAAATACATACTCTCAGAATAATCAGTTAGTACAAAAAAAGCTAGTGAACTCAACAAATTAATTAATTACTTTTGTTATGTCAGGGCATACAGACAGACAGACGCAACTTCGCTTTGTACAATAAAACAGTGGACAAGGTTTTTCAGATCTTCCCACCCAAAGTCAATTTCACAAGATCCAGCCCTGACCTTTGTAGAACTTGTGCTGTGGTTGGGAATTCTGGTAATCTCAATGGATCGCATTATGGACCACTGATAGACTTTCATGATATTGTCATAAGGTAAGAGTAGAACATACTGTTTTGAAATCGTCATGCATGTGTTATCTTTAAATATCTGTAAGCACTGCTAAAACCTTAAACTCAATTGAATAAGATATTTTCTTTCCCCAGTATGGATGTTCATTCTACATATATCATCCAATAGATGATAATATGAACAATATATCCTCTGTGCTTTTTAGAATAAACCGTGGGCCCACAAAAGGCTTTGAAAGAGATGTTGGAAACAAAACAACATACCATGTGATGTATCCAAGGAGTTTCAAAAATTTGGACAACACCACACATCTTGTGTTTTTTCCATTCAAAATTTACGATCTACAGTGGCTTATCCGGTCTTTTACTCAAAGGTATGTGTGTATTACAAAGGTGATATTTTTATTTGGTCCTGTATCTTGGTGATTTAACATTTATGATTTGAAAGTGTAGTCTGAATGCATAACTGCAAGACAAAACCCTTTGAATATATACTTTTGTATATTTAAAAAAGAAAATAAAACAGCGAAAAATTATGTTTTATATTTTCTAAAAGAAAAAGATGAATGAAAAAAGGAGAGCCCACAAGAAATAAAAGTAATGGGGAAAAAATGATCAGAATCCGAATGCATTTATTAGCCAAGTATGCAGGCACAATGTGAATGAATATGGTTCCGGTCGCTGGTGTCTCTCAAGCACAACAATGTAAAATACACAATATATGAACGACACAATGAACAATATACATAAACCACAATATAAAAACATCAAAATCCTTATATACAGAAAATACAGGATTACAGAAATGAATACCACAGAGTGTACATAAACTGCAGTTGCAATGTGACAGTTCAACGGTTTAGGAGGGAAAGGGCAAGGGGAAAGAAACTGTTTCTGTGTTGGGTGGTCCTGGTCTGCAGGCTTCTATACCATCTGCCAGAAGGCAGCAGGTCAAAAGGTCTGTGTCCAGGGTGTGAGGAATCTGTGATGATTTCCCCTGCCTGTTTTCTGGTTCTTGAGAGGTACAGGTCCTGGATGGAGTGCAGGGGGCTCCAATGACCCTTTCTGCTGCCCGTAAAGTCCTCTGCAGTCTGCACCTGTCCTTTTTAGTGGCTGCTCCATACCAGACTGTGATGAAGGAGCACAGGACAGACTCAATGACTGCAGTGTAGAACTGGATCAGCAACTCCTGTGGAAGACTACACTTCCAGAGACAACTGGGGAAGTGTAATCTTCTGCTGGGTCTTTCTGAGGATGGAGGAGATGTTAGTCTCTCACTTCAGGTCCTGGGAGATAGTAATACCCAGGAACCTGAAGATCTTCACAGTAGACACTGGGTGGTCTGATATGGTGAGATGGAGCAGTGTTGAGGGATGTCTCCTGAAGTCCACTATTATCTCTACAGTCTTAAGCATGTTCAGCTCCAGATTGTTCTGACTGCACCAGAGTACCAGCGGCTGCATGTGGATGCATGTGTTTTGTGGACTTGGAGAAGGCATTTGACCGTGTCCCTCGAGGGGTCCTGTGGGGGGGTGCTCTGGGAGTATGGGGTGTCTGGCCAATTGCTACGGGCCATTCAGTCCTTATACAACCATTGGAAGAGCTTGGTCCGCATAGCCAGCAATAAGTCGTACTCGTTCCTGGTGGATGATGGGCTCCGCCAGGGCTGCACTTTGTCACAGATTCTGTTCATAATTTTTATGGAAATAATTTCTAGGCGTAGTCAAGTGGCAGAAGGCTTTCACTTGGATGGTCTCAGGATCTCATCTCTGATTTTTGCAGATGATGTGGTTTTTTTGGCTTCCAGCTCACCTTGGAATGGTTCGCAGCAGAGTGTGAAGCGGTGGGAATGAGAATCAGCACCTCCAAATCTGAGTCCAGGGTCCTCAGCCGGAAAAGGGTGGAATACCCACTCCGGGTCAGGGACGAGATCCTGCCCCAAGTGGAGAAGTTTGAGTGTCTCGGGGTCTTTACGAGTGACAGGAGAAGGGAACGGGAGATCAACAGATGGATTGTACCAGACATCCAAGAAAGGGTCTCCAGTATAAAGAGTTGGACAGCACCAGTCCCCAACATGGTACACACCTACTGGCTGAAGAAGCTGACTGCACTTCATGAATACCTGGCCGCACAAATGAACCAGCTGCTAGTTGACGAGAGACACCCGGAATGGCTTACCGAAGGCCAGACAGTCCTGATCCTGAAGGACTCACAGAGGGGACCGGTCCCATCCAACAACCAACCAATAACCTGCCTCAGTACCACATGGAAGCTCCTATCAGGCAGATGAACAGGCACATGGCTCAATACATGAGTGGGACACAGACAGGGATTGGCAAGAATACCAGATGTGTAGACCGAGCATTTGCCCGAGACTGCAAGACCAGACTGACCAACCTGTGCACTTCCTGGATTGATTACAAGAAGGCCTATGACTCAATGCCCCACAGCTGGATACTGGACTGCCTAGACCTATACAAGATCAATAGGACCCTAAGAGCCTTCATCAGGAGCTCAATGGGGATGTGGTGGACAACACTCACCATCAAGTGCGGGATCTGTCCCCACTACTGTTCTGCATAGGCCTGAACCCCCTCAAGGACATCATGGACAAGACTGGCTACAGATACAGACTACGGAATGGAATAGTTGTCAGCCACCTCCTGTACATGGATAACATCAACCTGTATTCCAAGAGGGAATGAGACATCGATTCACTGAACCACACCACCAATGACATCGGAATGTCTTGCGGACTAGAGAAATGTAGTCGGATGATAACAAAGAGAGGAAAAGTAGTCAGAACTGAGGGGATCGAACTACCAGAAGGCAACATCGCAAACATTGCGGACAGCTACAAGTACCTAGGGATCCCACAGGCAAGTGAGAACCATGAAGAGTCCGCTAGGAAAGCTGCAGCCACCAAGTGCCTACTGTCACGGTTCGAATTTGAGGAAGAGACAAACGACTGCATGGTCCTCAATAGATGTCAGAATAGGTGATTTTATTATACATATGTACATATGGGGAAGATGAGCAGCACAAGCCTCTAAGCGCTGATCTCCCCCGAACAGTCTCTTCACAAGGGTTTTATTGCAATGATGACGTCAAGTCACATGATAAGTATCAGTCAGTTCCCAGAACTCAGGAAGTTTCCCCTTATATGGCCTCCAGATGTTTCCACTCAGTCCAGCACTCGGAGAAAACCGTGTGTGTGTGGTGTGTATCTCTATTCGTGTCTATTGTGTGTGTATGTCAAACAGAGAGCATGTCCTGAGCAGACCTCACAGTTCTCCATGAGTGTGTGCGTGTCCTACATGACTATGTAGGTGCGTTTAGTGTGGACTTAAATGTGTGTACTCTGTGTAAGTGTATTCAATCGTTGTCCAGAACCAAATATGGGGTTGTCTTTTAGTCGGCCTCAGCTCTAAC